GTTTTTGTAAAGGCATCCTCTGCATATCGACCTCCCTTATTTTGTGTTTTGAAAAGAAAGCACCAAAAGCAAAACGCCGCATCTTTCGATATGCTATACTCTAACCATACAAACTTTTGATACCAACTATCTTGGAAACTTCTATGTTGTTTACCAAATGATGTTTTTGGATACATATGGCCAATCGGTTGGCAAGGTCCCCTAGTCAAATACTCTCTTCGGACATGGTCTCGAAGAGAAATATCAAATTTCTCAACTGATTTTCGTAATCCCGGATCACTAACAATATCATTTAAATTCAATTCCACACAAGATTGATTTTGAACTGGTTCACTAATATTAGGCTCATTTGAAGATTCACCACTACGGACTCGTTTAGGTTTAAAGAATCTCTCCATTTTCTGTCACAATTAAATAATTGTGGTTAAATTCAATAAAATTATGCAATTCAATAATCAATTAATTTAAAATTCATATAAATAATTCTTTAATTTAATAATAAATTCATATTACTTATATTTCTCAATTTATAAAATTCATTATATAAAATTATCAAAAAGTTAAAATAAGGTACAACTAAATACCCATATAATCTCTAATTCAATCTCATAAAATTTTGAATTTATATTTACATTCAAAATTTCTAATTCACATAATTAATTCTTAAAATTTCAAATATAAAACTAACAAAATTTTAAAAACTAAATACAACCTAAAATCTATACAATTTCTAAACTAATTTCTAATTTAAATTTAATATCATTAAATTTTTTAATGTAATCTTTCAAATTCTTAAATTACATTAACATAAACTAAATAAAAATTAATCTTAATCAAATTAATATCAAGATACTCAAAATTCAAAAATAATTTAAACATATAATTAACAAAAATATAAAGATGAATATTGTAATTTAAACCAAAAAACTAACCTAAAAGATTTATGTGAATGGAATGGTGGAGAGTTGGAGTCTTGGAGCCTTGAATTGAAGGCTTGAAGCAGGATGGTAGAATCTCAACTGAAGCTTCTTGGAGTTCTTGGAGCCTGGCGTCTTCTTCTTGGAGTTGGAGTCTTGTTTGCCCTTTGGCACTGGCGGCGTATTTTTTTTCCCCTCATTATACAAAACGATGTCGTTCCACTAAAAGTGAAACGACGTCGTTTTGTATTTAGAGGGCAAAAAAAAAAAAATTCAAAATGAAATGGGTCATCTTCTTCCTCAGCAGTCAGCACGGCAGCGGCTTTCCAGCTCTTCTTCACTTCCTCTGCAGCATTCATGGAGCCATGGAGGATGGTAGATCTGGATCACCGGGGGGCTGGGCTGGGCTGGGCTGGCCGCCGGAATCCCCTATATATAGGGGGTTTTCCGGCGGCTTGGGGGGGGGCTTAAGCCCCCACCAGCCCCCTTAAATCCGTGGCTGGTTTTCATATACACTGTTATAGTAAAAAATTTCAAAAGCACCCCCAAAAATAGGTAAATTTTGAAACAATCTAGTTACTTTTCATCTAATCACAACACGCTCAACATAGCAAATTAGTCTTAATTCGTCAATTGCAAGAACAAGGCATAGCCATTAGGTTAGCTTTGATCAAAGCAAGGGAGCTACATGACTCATTAAGCGCTCATTTAGTTGTATATTTATTCCTTTGGCAATGTAATTAGCCATTATATAGGAAAATTTACTTGTAAACTTATGAAAATTAGCAAAGGTTGAGAGAGATCGATGCTCGTAATACCCTAACCGGAAATTTTTTTGAGAAGTACTAATACAAATTTGATGAATGAGATTTATTGTGAAACGCAACTGAAAAGCGCTCATTTGTTTTTGTTTTGTTTTTTGGATAGGGGTGGGGATGGGTTTTGGTTGACGCGGGAAACCTGAAAAGCCCAAAGACCATCAAGAAGCCGAAGGGAAGGGCGGGCGGGGGAGGCAGAGGCACAACAAGTTAACAAGTAATTGAAGGCGCTATGCAAGGGCAGTTGCGTCAAACAAGTTTCAACACTAAGGAAGGGGGAAAAGAAAAAGGCGCATAATTCATAACAGACAGACACGGACAGGACAGCTACTACTTAGTAGTGCAGCAGTTACTGGCTTACTGCTCCTACCCCGACACCTTCTCCCACCCTCTTCACTTTGGTCTGAAGAACCCAAAACAAACAACTAACCATTCGCTTCGCTGCTTTTAAGGATTCTTCTTCCCCAATGGCTGCCGATGAGGTAATGCTAATACAAATCAAATCACCGCTTTCACGCCTCTCGACCACCCCCACCACCACAACACTTGCCCCACTTCCAAACCCCCACCAACTACCTATCTCAACTGATTCTTTAACCGTTTTTTCCCCTTTCAAGACGGGCTTCTTCTTTTTCTTTTTTTTTTTAAGTTACTTGTGTTTTTTCTTGGCTTTTACCCTCAAAATGGAATCTTTGTTCTTTTGATTCAATATATTTTATTATGTAGAAACTGGGGGCTTTGAAGAAGGCATATGCGGATATCATACTGAACACGGCGAAGGAGGCGGCGGCCAGAATAATGGCGTCCGAAAGAAAGGCGCAGCGGTTTCAGCGGAGCTTCAGATGGCCAAAGAGGAGGCCTTGCGGATGCTCCTGCGCCTCAAGCAGATGATGGATTCTAAGGTTTTTCCTCTCAATATTTTCATCATCTGCGCCTCAAGCAGATGATGGGTTTTTTTTGTTTTTTGTTTTCCCTTTGGTGCTTCGATTCTGTTCGTTTTCTGGATGATGTTTGATTTCTAGATCATTTTGCCGGTGATGATGACGGGAAAAATACTGTCTTTCCTTCTAGATTGCAAAGGTTGATTCCATTTACATTCTTTCTGGACCATTCCTTTCAGAATTTAGTTTCATCTCACTCGCTGTCTCTTTTTTTTTTTAAGTGCTTCAGAAATTGAATTTCTTGATACTTAATCCAGCACAGTTGGTCTTTTACTGGCTTCTGTCAGTTTCCTTTGATGCTTTCCCGTGGATCATATCAATTCCCTCCTTGCTAAAGTTGACTAGTTTGTTAGGAGGGAAAAATACTGAAATTGGTTGTCACTTTGTATACTATACAGCATGTAATGAGGCTCAAGAAACCAATTCCTTTCATTGGTTCTCCTGGTGTTTAAATGGGAACCTTGAATTTGGATGTCACCTATTATTGTGGAGCTTCTGACCGATGAGAATTTCAGGTTGAACCCGGCAGCTATTGCTAGTTAATCCAAACAAACTTGAAAAGCTTTGAGGCTATATGGTGTTGGATAAAATGGATATGCTGTAATTTCATTTCTTGGACATTCAAGTGCAGGACATATACAGATATCCATATAATCAAATCATCAAGTGGGACTGGTATTCCTACCTAAAGGCAGGCTTCTTGTGGGCTAATCAGGGCATCTACCCCACAAAGAAGCATTAATAATCCTCAATTGTGTTGAGAATTCACTATTGAATGCCTATTCTGCCGCAAATTTCTTTCTTTTTTTTATTTTAAGAATATCTTTTACCTTGCATTACAAAATTGAACATTGATATGGGCTTCAGGGCAATAGCAACTTTAGTGCTGTTAGTCAAAGTGGAGTCACCAGAAAGTTTAGATAAGTTATTACTGATGTGCTTGACTTTTTGGCTGATTCTTCTGGATGAAGTTAGTGTAGATTGTTTGACAAGTATATGCTTTTCATTCCATATTTTTTTTTCCTACTTGTGGCAAAATCAGTAATAAGATTAGATTGCAAGAGTCACTTTTAAATTCATCTATTTTAATGAAAATGTATACATTGTCTCCTTGGATTTACATTTTAGCCCCCTTTGTAGATTTCTGATGCAGAGTTGACATCATGAGTCAACAGAAAAAGATTGATGAACTTGAAGCTCAACTCCAAGAAGCTGAGGATATTGTTAAAGATCTCAGAGAGGAACTGAGAGAAGTGAACATTGAACTGGAGAGGTCAGAAACAGTAAAGAGAAGCTCCTGGATGATTGGCATGCTGTGGCACAAAGAGAATATCTGAAGAGAATGAATCCCACTATTCCAGTCTAATGCACTCCCTCCCAATCAATCAGATCTCGGACATGTTGCAGCTGCTGAATGAGAAGCATGCATGAGTTTCAGAAAAATGAGAGTTTTAAATTCTATTCTGGCATACCTCATGTGGGGAATTTATACCTTGGATGTCCAGATTTGCCCTCTATCATTTTGAGAAGCAAAGAGCCTGAGCTGTACAGAAATGGGTGCACTCAGAGAATACGTGCATCAGAAGGAAACTTTTCGAATATGCTTTCTGGGAAAGTACATAAAAGGAAAGATGAGATCTCTACTCTAGAAGATTTAGGTGGTAAACAAATCTTTTCAGTACCTAACTGTAGCTTAGGAATTTGAGTAATGTTGAGAAGAAACTAGAGGCAGATAGCCAACTTGGTAGATGGAACCCCGCCCCAATTTTTTGTGTCAAGAAGAAGAGAGCTACTAGATATAGGAAAAGGGCGATTACCTCATCTGGATGTTTTCCTGATCAATTTCCTAGACCTAATCAAGTTCCTGATGTTTCTTGTGCGGCAACTCATCTGATTTCTGTGAGAAGTGATGTTCATTTTGAGGAAAATAAATCCAAGATGGTGTCAAGATTATCTTCAGATGAACCTGAACCAGGGTTGGAGGAGGATTGTGCTGAAACTTCTGAAAATGATATTGAGCTTGGCAACTCTGCTGCTGTTCATAGACCCGTGAATGAAAATGAAGGTACAGAAAAGTTGGTCCTTAAGGATTCTGCCGGGAGTTCGGTGGCTACAGATGGTGAAACAGATCTTCAAAAATCAAATATTACATTGCCGATATATGAGCCAAATGTACCTACTGTAGTGGATAGGGTTGGTAATCAACCTATCCAAGAAAGAATAATCAAGTATACATTCCAAAGGAAGCGAAAGAGAGATTCTTTGAGCAAATCCAATGGGGTTGTTTCTTTTGAAAGTGATACTTCTAAGAGGCGAACTTTGGGGAAGAAAGTGATCCTGTGGAGCAGGAGAAGTCAAACTTAGTAACAGAATCCTCTCGACATTGTGGGCGGTTAGCACACATTGCTCATCAGGTTGGTATTTTTTGTTGGCTACAGCATATGCGTATTTGGCATATCTGTAGCAATGCATGATTCAGTTTCTTTTGTTCTCAGACATAAGGTTGTATTGTGTAATTTTAAAGCGTCTCTACTTGACTTGGTGATTCTACATCATTGGTGCTTATCAGCTGGAAATTGTATCTCTTATTTCCATGTTTTTGATTTATTTGAAATTCAGGCACACGAGTCCATAGTGTTAAAATCAGGGTTTCCTGTATGATTTCTGACTGACTGTTATCGTAAAAAACTCTTCTCGTAAATCACTTTTGATTACCAATTGTCAATTCATGCATTAATCCTGGTATTACAGAATTTAGACAACAAACTTTTTCTTAACAATCGCTGTTGAGAAGTTACCTTTATTTTTGTGGCATAAGCATATATTCATTTTTCTGCTTTCCTGACACCGGACCTGCATGGCGCTTGCTTTTGCCATTTTTTTGTGGGGGTGGGGTTGGGGGGGGGGTGAAGCAACTGAATTTACTCCCTTTTCTTCATCTGTTGCCTCTGTTCAATTGTTTGACTGATTGTTGCATTTGAAGTTCTGTTAAACCGTTTGGGTTGAAAAACTTTTTCTTCTTCATGGTGGTTATTAGAAAGTTGAGGTGGCTTGGTTTCTTCTATTTACTATCAACTATGTAGTTTGTGGCCAGCTAGAGATTAAAGTTTTCTGACAAGATGTACTCTTATTACCTTGAAGTACATTAAAATGTTTGAAGCACAAGGTATTTGATCCAGTTTTCTCAGTGAATTATGGTAATCATGGTTTATTGTCTTCAAAGAATCATGTCTATACTTCTCTTGTGACAGTCTTTATAAATTGTAGCATGTTCTCAATTGTTTTGGCTCTTCCACTCATCAAACTCTATGACTATCCAGGAAAGAGACCTATAGGATGATTATTAAGATTTAGCAGAAAATTATTGGCTGCTGTTGGGCAATATGCCTGCAACTGAATAACATTGACCTCTTCACTTACAGTAGTACTTCATGGGTCCTGTTTCTAAATTCACTTTTTTGGGGATTAATCCTTTTTTTCAGAAGTACAAGAAACGTGGAAGTTTGCGCTTGAGTTTCCAATTTTAGCCTGTCTAATGAGTATTTTGGCTAGAAACTACTGAAGCAAGTTAAAGTTTGCGGTGCCAACTCCTTATTATCTCTAAGTGACTAGGCTACTTGTGATTTGCATGTTCCTGAACTTCATTTCCTTTGTTTCAGCATTGTCTTGCATGACTCCATTTGTGGTTCGTGGAAATGTTGATTAGCATGCCACCACCCGAGTCTTTTTTTAGTCTTCACTTCATGCTTCTGCTATCTATATGTTTCTTTGTTGAACCCGCTGCAGCTCTCCTCTTGCTATCTATGTGATGATTGACTTTGTAGCTCTCCTCTTGCTGGCAGCTTATATCTCTGTCGGAGAGCAAATGGTAGCTGTGAAACACTCAGTTCCATGGTTGATTGGATTTTAAGCTTAAAGACATTGAGTGAGAGGGTGAAGAAGAAACCAGCCGGTGTCGTGCAATCTATCAAATTCTCCTTGGTTGGTCTAACATGTGGGCAATCTCTTTTGATCAAGAAACGGGTTTTGAAATTTCTTTTTATTGAAAATAATTTATGGATGACTCGTACTAGTAGTATATGATGTATGACTCACTATTGTAGCACTACTATCGTTTGTTATATCTCGTTTTTATTATTTTCTTTTTCCCCTTTTATTTGCCACAGCTCCAAAATTACTTTTGCGGAAAGGGGATGTTTCACTTTCACCATGTGTCTGTGGATTGGGTTCTTTTGAATAAAATGCATGGTTATCTGGGAGTGAGTAGTAGTGAAACAGCGGGTTTGTGTCAGGCTTCAACTGTCATAACCCTAAATTGGAGATAGGAAGAAGCTCGGATGAGCTTAGTAAGGAAGAAGAGGAAGAAAGTACAGAGAGTATGATGAATAGAGAGAGAAAATAGAGAAGAGGGAAATTGCAAATGTTATTTCTCTGATGCTTTTCCTACCAATCTTGCTGTTACAAATAGGATAGGCTAACTACCTCTAACTAATTTCTGTTACAACTCACGCGCCTGATGCCAACTGAAGAAATCACTCATACGGCACCGTTCTACTTATTCTTCCTTATTACTAACATTTCCCCAAACGACATCGTTACAATCATTTGTTAACTTTTGGCTTAGCTCCTCTATCCTGACATTACCTCCTGCTCAAAAATTTGTCTTGTCCTCAAGACTGGAAATGAGGAAATTGAGAGTGTATGAAATCTTGGTCTTCCCACGACGCTTCCTCAGGTTCCAGCTGATACCATTTGATTAAGAACTGAATAACTGGTTGACCATTGCGCATGATGGCTCTCCTCTGCAGCACAGACTCTGGTTGCAAGGGACACTGATCTGCATTGTCAAACTCCGGCAATGCCCCAGACACCTGTTGCACTGGCCCAATCTTTTTCTTCAGTAGGGATACATGGAAAACTGGGTGAATTCTGGCTCCTGCAGGTAACCTGAGACGATATGCTACTGATCCTACTTTGGCTTCCACCTGGAAGGGTCCATAGAATCTGGCAGCCAGTTTAAGGCATTTTCTGATAGCAACTGTCTGCTGCCTATAGGGTTGTAATTTGAGAAAGACCCAGTCTCCTACTGCAAAAGATCGCTCAGTACGCTGTTGGTCAGCAAAGAACTTCATTCTTTGCTGTGCCTTAGTTAAGTGATCCTTGAGACTACCAGAAATTCTCATTCGTTCCTGAAGAAGCTGAGCTGCTGCAGGTATGATAGTATCCACATAGGGACCCAGTGGCAAGGGAACAGGCTTGTAACCGTACAAAGCCTCAAATGGGGTCAGCTGCAAACTGGAGTGGTAAGAAGAATTGTACCACCATTCTGCCATTGCTAGCCAACTGCTCCAACGTGTTGGAAATTCCCCAGTCATACACCTGAGATAAGACTCAACACACTGGTTCAATCTTTCACTTTGCCCATCGGATTGGGGGTGGTAGGCTGAGCTATAATGCAAGTCAGTTCCCACCAATCTAAACAGTTCCTGCCAAAAGGTGCTGGTGAAGATCCTGTCTCTGTCTGTGACAATAGACTCTGGTAGCCCATGCAATCTGAAAATGCTATCTAAAAAGAGTTGAGCCACTTTCTTAGCAGAAAATGGATGGGATAGTGCTATGAAATGTCCTACCTTGGTCAGTCTGTCAATGACCACCATGATAGTATCATAACCCTGAGAGTTGGGTAAACTCTCTATGAAATCCATTGTTACATGTGTCCATGCCAAACGAGGAATAGGCAAGGGTTGTAACAGGCCTGGCAGGTGTACATGTTCAGCTTTGTATCTCTGGCAGACATCACAAGCCTGTATAAACTGAATAACCTCCTGCCTCATTGTTGGCCAATAGAAGAGGGATTTAATCCTTTGCCAACACCCCCTTTGACCTGAGTGGCCACCTACAGCAGAGGAATGTAATGCCTGTATAATCCTGGCTCTCAGACCATTAGTTGACCCCACATAGATTCTCCCATTGTATTTCAGCAAATCACTGTTCCATTCATACCCTGGATGTGAGCTAGGATCCAAGAGCAACTGGGAGATGATATCCTTGCAGTGATCATCTGAGAGGTAACTTCCCTGCAGTTCCAGTAACCAATTTGGCTTAACTGTTGTCAAGGCTAGACATGACCCTGTGGTAGTGATGTGAGGCTGCCCCCTTTCGTACAATCGAGACAAAGCATCTGCTACCTTATTTTCCACTCCTTTTTTGTATTGGATTTCATAATCTAGGCCCAGAAGCTTAGTGAACCACTTGTGTTGTAGAGCAGTTGTAAGCTTCTGATCTAACAGATACCTTAGTGACTGATGATCAGTTTTGATAATGAAGTGATATCCAACAAGGTAATGGCGCCACTTAGTCACTGCCATTACCAAAGCCAGCAACTCCTTTTCATAGGCTGAGAGTCCCAGGTTTTTAGGTGACAATGCCTTGCTAAGGAAAGCCAAGGGATGTCCTTCCTGCATTAATACTGCGCCAATTCCTCCTCCACTGGCATCAGTCTCAATGGTGAATGGTTTCTGAAAGTCGGGTAGTCTAAGAACAGGTGCAGTACACATGATGTTTTTCAGTGCAAGGAAAGCCTCTTCAGCCTCTGGATTCCATGCAAAGCTATCCTTCCTTAGCAATTCAGTCAGGGGTTTACAAATGATGCCATAGTGCTTGATAAACCTTCTATAATACCCAGTCAACCCCAAGAATCCCCTCAATTCCTTCACTGTCCTTGGACTTGGCCATTTCAGAATACTATCTATCTTGGAACTATCCATTGACACTCCTTCTTCTGTTATAGTGTGGCCCAGGTAGTCTACTGTCAGTTGTGCAAACGAGCACTTAGAACGTTTTGCAAACAGGTTATGCTCCCTTAATATTGATAAAACTGTCCTCAGATGTTGCTGATGTAGCTCTAATGTTGGACTATAGATAAGTATATCATCAAAGAAAACCAGAACAAATTTTCTCAGGTAAGGCTGGAAGATCTGATTCATAAGAGCCTGAAATGTGGCCGGGCGTTTGTTAGCCCAAAAGGCATTACTAGGAACTCGTAGTGACCACAGTGTGTTTGGAAGGCAGTTTTGTATGTGTCTTTAGGCTTGACCCTGATTTGGTGGTAACCTGAAGTGAGGTCCAACTTGGATTTATACTTAGATCCTGCTAGCTCATTGATTAGTTCATCTACATTGGGTATGGGGTATCTGTCCTTGATAGTCATTTCATTCAGCCTCCTGTAGTCTACACAGAAACGCCAGGTCCCTCTTTCTTCTTGACAAGTAGAACTGGAGAAGCAAAGGGACTGTTACTGTGAATTATGATTCCATGTTGCAACATATCCTTAACCTGCTGCTCAATTTCTCCTTTTTGTGAGTGAGGGTATCTGTAAGGCTTCATTTTGAAGGGCTGAGAATCAGGTTTTAGTGGTATCTCATGATCTAAACTCCTGACTGGAGGTAACTCAGTTGGTGCTGCAAATACATCTACAAATTCTTCAATAATACCCTGGACCCCTGTAGGGATGTCATTTCCCTGCTCTTGATCACTTTGTCCCAATCTCATGGACATGCATAACTGTCTCTTATATTCAATGAATGTTCTCAGATCACCTCCCCTAATTAAATCTAAATCACAGTCTTCAGCCTGGCCATGCAAGTGTACCGCTTCCCCTTGATGTTGTAGGGAAATGGTCAGCTTGTGAAAATCAAAAGTGATAGGGCTGAACTGAGTCATCCAATCCACCCCAAGTATTATGTCCCATCCACTTAGATCCATTACTTTGAGATCATAGCAGAACCTATGCTGATTAATTCCCCAGACCACCTTAGGACATATCGCCTTACTAGTTACACAGGCCCCGTTCCCCACAACCACAGAAAAAGGATTGACTAATTTATAAGGAATATCAAATGCGATTACCTTCTCACTGCTAATGTAGCTATCAGAACTGCCAGTGTCCACCAGTATCAGCATTTCCTCTCCATCCAGTACGCCTACCAGGGTGATTGTTTTCCTCTTAAGTGCCTCTGACAATGTGTGTAGGGACATCTCCATAACCTCCCCTGGATTCCCTGTGGTTTCGTCTTGCTCTCCCAGTGCATCCTCAAATTCAGTATCCTCCTCCTCATCATTGACCAGAAAGTTCAAATGACCAAGTTTGCACTGGTGTCCCTGCCCAAATTTCTCCCCATTTGAAGCATAGGCCATGACTTCTTCTGTACTGTATTTCTTGTGCTGAGATTTTTCTTGGTTCTGCTTCAGTATTAGCAACAGGTTTGCCTTTGAAATGAGTATTCCTGAATGAACCAATAGGAGGTACTCTGTAATGTGAACTGTGACTCGTCTGCTGAGATGCACTTTTTGAGATCCCAAACCTATTCTCTGAGTTAGGCCTTACGTTCTCTTTAAGACTCCTGGACTGCAAGTGCAGTGCATTCTCCTGCAGTACTGCCAACTCGAAAGTTTCAAATAGAGATGTAGGCCTCAACAGTCGGATCATAGTCTTAATTTCGTCCTTCAAGCCACTGATGAAGCTTGATACGAAATATTCTTCACTCAAATGTGGATTTTTCACTGCCATGAGAGTCTTGAGTTCTTCGAACTTTTCCTGGTACTCCTCGACCTTCCCTGTTTGATGTAATTTGTTGAATTCCTCCACGACATCTTTTCCTGTCCTGTTATCGAACCTTCTACACAATAAGTCTTCAAACATTGGCCATGTGATCTCAGGTTTCTCCACCTTAACACCCTGGAACCACCTGTCTGCCTTCCCTTCCAGATACATCTCAATCACTTCGACCTTCTGTTCCTCAGGAATTTGGTAGTTTACGCAGTACTTGTTGCACTTCCGAATCCATTCTCTTGGATTTTCCCCAGAGAATAAGGGCAAATCAATTTTGGGTGGATTCGGAATCAGAAGCTTGTTTGCCTCCCTCCTTCCCGTTCTGCCGCCTTCGAATCCTATGTGCAGCCTCTGATTAGGTGGTGGTGTTGGCAATAGTGGCGGTTGATCGCTCATGGTCCTTCCAGGTTCAAAATTCAGCTTCTCCTTGTCCAGCAACATCTTCATGAGAGCGCTGAATTCTTGTTTGATTCCTGTGACCAGACCTTCCATTCTCTTGTTGTTTTCCTCCAACTCTGTCCTCAGCTCCTCGCGAAGCTGCTGTTGTTGATGGTGTGAAGCCTGTAGTCCTTCGATCACCTCCTGAAGCTTGGAATCTTGTAATTTGTTCCTCCAAGGTCTTGAATCTGGTACTCTCCGCCATTGTTACTAATTTCCGAGGAATCGACAAGCTCTGGTGCCAACTGAAGAAATCACTCATACGGCACCGTTCTACTTATTCTTCCTTATTACTAACATTTCCCCAAACGACATCGTTACAATCATTTGTTAACTTTTGGCTTAGCTCCTCTATCCTGACAGTTTGGCTTGAGATTGATCTCTTACTGTATTTTCGGTGCTTGAGATTTGCACTTTGGGATATTGAGCATGTACGTGAGCTGCTATCTTCCCAAAGATTTTTTTTTTTTTTGCGGGAAAATTTTCCATCCTTTTGGTTGGCGATGTAAGATCTAAGAAGCTACTGGAAAATTTGATCTTCAACCTTGTTTAAGAAGGGCGGGGTCCCAAATAAAACTAGTAGTAGGACTAAGATTGTCTTATCATAATTAGGTTGCAAACGAATCAAATGGTTCATGAGTATCGATTCAGTCAAAGTTCAACTTAAGTTGGGTTCAAATCAATCAAGTCGAGATATTGAATTTGAATCGAACATAGAGAAATATATGTATATATATATATATATTATTTTAATAACAAAATTACATATGTATCTCTAATATTTTTATTATTTATTAAGAAAAATGATTACTTTATTTTTAAATAAATAAGATAATTATTTTTTTTTTTTAAAATTCGAGTAGGGCTGAATTTGAATTTAACTAAGTTCTAATTTGAAATCGAGTTTGAACTCAAATTTTATCTTGAAAGCTTATCGAGTGTGAGATCGAATTTAAAGTTTGAATTTGATAAAATTGAGTCAAATTCGAGAATAAGACTACTCATTCTACTACAAGACAATGACAATAATGTTGCATCAAGTATAGGCTAAATCCACCGACAGCCTCTTGGACTGTTGAAAAGGTGGGAGGTTAAGGATTCAATCCTTGCCTCCACCAAACTTGCCACTTAATTGTGGCTGCCACCTTGAAGTGGCTTTCTTTCGACTCTCCCTCTCTTAGATTATATTAGGGTATGTTATATAACCAGGAAAATAAAGGAGTGTCGGATTGCTATTTTGGAATGGAGAAAAAAAGTGCAAAGAAACTCCAAAGTAAGGATAAGGGAACTAAAAGAGAGACTCAACGCAGTAAAAGAAGGAAATGATATAGGAAAGAATGGTCGAATTGCAGAGATCAAAAGCCAACTAAGCAAAGCATATAAGAAGGAAGAACTGTGTTGGAGCCAAAAATCAAGAAGCAAATGGCTCAAAGAAGGGGATAGAAATACAACATTCTTCCATACAAGTGTGATGGCAAAGAGGAGAAGAAATACAATCAGCACTTTATAGAGAAATGATGGGACCTGATGCAAGAATGAGAAGGAGATTGAAGAGGAACTGAATGAGTACTACAATGACCTTTTTACCACTACTAATCCTAACAATTAGCAGAGATTCCAAGCACTATTTCTAAACAGATGAATGAGCTGCTGATTAAGGCTGTGAAAGAAAAAGAAATTAGACAAGTCTTGTTCTCAATGCATCCAAACAAAGCACCCGGGACGGATGGTATGTCCTCACTTTTCTTTCAACATTATTGGCATATCATGAAAGAAGATTTGGTGTCTGTCATAAATAGTTTCTTTCATACTGGTTACCTTCTCAAAGTTGTGAATGAAACCATCATCTTTTTTATTCCAAAAACTAAAGCACCTATGTTTGTTTTGAACTATAGGCCAATTAGCTTGTGCACTGTTCTGTATAAGATCATCTTGAAAATCATTGCAAACAGACTGAAGAAGGTGCTTCAGCATTGCATAAGTAATTCACAGTTTGCCTTCATTCCAGGCAGACAAATTCTTGACAATGTTGTGGTAGTTCATGAAATACTATATTTTTTGAAAAATAAGAGAACAGGAAAAACAGGTTTTATGGCTATTAAACTTGACATGTTCAAAACCTACGATAGAGTAGAATGAAAATTTTTGGAGAGACTGATGATAAAAATGGGTTTCTGCCCAATATTTGTCAAATGGATCATGGTCTGTTTGTTCATTGTGTCTTACTCTTTCAACTTAAATGGCCAAAAAGTAGAACATATTAAACCAAGTAGAGGCATTAGGCAAGGAAATCCTTTATCACCCTACCTGTTCATTATTTGTACTGAAGGGCTTTCCAGCCTTATTAATAAAGCAGTGACTGAGAATGAGCAAACAGGAATCAAAATTTGTAGGAAAAGTCTAGCTATTTCTCATCTATTTTTTGCAGGCGACTCTCTATTGTGCTGTAAACCAAGCAAACAGGAGGCAATGAAAGTGAAAAGCATCCTAGCAAAATATGGCAAAGCCTCTGGCTAGGTGGTGAATTTTGACAAGTCAGCAATCTTCTATAGCAAAAACACCAATGTCCTGATGAAACAAGAGGTGAGCGAGGGACTTGGCAACATGAAAGAAGCAATGAATGGGATATATTTGGGTCTACCAATGGCTATTGGAAGATCTAAGACACAAGTGTTTGGCTTTGTAAAGAGCAAAATCAGCAACAAGCTCCAAGGATGGAAACAAAGGCTACTGAGTCAAGGAGGAAAGGAAGTACTGATCAAATCAGTGATAATGGCTATGCCAACATATGTAATGGCATGCTTTAGACTTCCCAAAGGACTGTGCAGAGAAATCACAGCAAAAATTGCGAGATTTTGATGGGGAAAAGGAGATCAAGAGGCATGTGTTCACTGGGCAAGTTGGAAGAAACTTTCAGAAGTAAAAGGAAGAGGGGGAATAGGCTTTAGAGATCTAGAAGCCTTCAATACTGCTTTGCTTGCAAAGCAAATTTGGAGTTTCTTATCTGCCCCAAATTTGCTAGTAAGCAAGGTAACAAAGGCAAAATACATGAAGGACCCAAATTGGATGAAAAAAAGTCCCCCAAAATCAACATCATGGAGCTGGAAAAGTATGCACAGTGCCAAAACATTGTTGTTAGTTGGGTTATAAAAATGAATAGGAGATGGAAGTACTGTAAGCATATGGAAGGATAAATGGATAAGTGGATCAGAACAAGATTATGTGTCCTTTGGAAAACCTGATGGCTACCAGCTAGAATGGGTAAGTGAGATGATAGAAGAGGGAAAATGAAATAAAGAACAATTATAAAAATGGTTCTGTAACAAAGGTGCAGAGCTCATCGAATGCATTCCCACCAGCATAGGAAGAAGAAAGGACAGAATGATCTGAAAATTCTCCAAAATTGGAGCATATACTGTGAAAATAGGATATGCTGTGGTAAGACAGGAGAAGGGCTAGCATAGTAGAAAAGGAACAAGCAATATTGAAACAAGCTGGGAAATAAGAAAACACAGTGTGTGAAAGAAACTGTGGCAACTGAAGGTGAAGGCCAAGCTGAAACACTTTATGTGAAAATGCCTACAGAATTGCTTACCAATAAACGAGATTACTTTCAAAAGGCAGGGAAAAGGAGAGGGAAGATGTGGCTGCTGTGGAGAAAGTGTGGAAACCATTGAACACTTGCTCTTCTTTTGTACGAATGCAGTAGAAGTATGGAAAATGGCACCAGAAAAGTGGGATGGTTTAATGGACAAACAGCACAATCTGTGGCTCTGGTGGGAGAAGGCTACTCAGTCAATCTCGAAGGAACAAAGGCCAGAGAGAGTAAACCTCACCATCAACATATTTTGGCAAATTTGGAAAGCAAAAAACAAAAGAGTTTTTGAAAATGCCAGCCAGAATTCACAAAGAACAGTCATTAAAACACATGAGGACTGGATTGAGTATGAACAGGCAAGGGAGGCAGAACAAGAAAACATTGCATCTTTCACCAATAGTAATTCCAAAAAAAAAAAAAGAGAAACACCAAGGGAAGACGTGGCATATATGTACATAGATGCTGTAATATCAGCAAAAATGATCAGGACTGGTCAAGAAATTGTAGCAAGAAACTGGAAAGGAATGATTATGAGAGCAAAAGGAATTGTCAGTCAGTGCAAGGGAACAGCAAGCAAAGAAGAAGCTTTTGCAATCAGGAACGCAATACTGATGGCTAAACATGCAGGATGGGGTAAAATAATAGTCCATCTAGACAGCAAATCAGTTGTAGATCAGATAAATAGATGTAGTGACTATGACTACATCATTGCAACTATCTTGGAAGATGCGCAGGAACTCGGAACAGGTTTTAAAAGTTGTACTTTTGTATTTATACCTAGATCAGAAAATGAAATCAACTATGCTCTAACTCAAATTACTGTTAAGCTAGTACATGATATTGATTGGGAACAAAATTTCCCAAGATGGCTAATAGACTTAGTGCTGACAGAAATGATGGTAGTAGCCCCTTTTTGTAATTAATCCTTGTATTATTAAGTGTTCACGTATATGAAACTGTTAACGTTTGTTGGAAAAAAAATACATGCAACCAAAACAAAATATCAAACTGCTATAGGACATGACGACCCAAGTATCATTTACACTCAAAACTACCCCCAGTGGGCATTGACAGGTGCCGAACCTGTACAATAATAAAAACCTACTCGAGAAAAATACAGATTTTGTATATAGCGGTGAGTAGGGTCGAATCCACAGGGACTGGGGATAATTCGTTTCTTCTAGAGTCCAAAGTATGGGGGGTTTTTGGATCAAATACTAACTAAATAATTTAACTTCAGAAAATAATTAAGTAAAAGAAATAACTAAGAGAAACTCTAGCCAAGGGTATACTTCAGAAATGGTTCATGCACTGATCATTGATGCAAAAATAATTCCAACATTTAGTAATAGATTAGTTA